CAGAGTCAACCATTTTGAGTAATATTGCATGAGTTCCTTGTTTTTTAATGCAGCATAGTATTCCATTGTGCGAATATACCACAGCTTCTCTAGCCATTCATTTGTTGATGGGCACTTAGGTTGTTTCCATCTCCTTGCTTTTGTGAACAAAGCTGCAATAAACATGGGTGTGCATATATCTGCTTGGGTGTCAGTTATGGACTCTTCTGGGTATATTCCCAGTAGTGGAGCTTTTTGAGGAAACACCTAACTGCTATTAATTTTTTTTCTTTCTAACTTCTATTAAGTTTTTAACGCTATCTCTTTTCCAGGTCAGGACTCAAGAAACATCAGTGGAAATCCATGAGGATTTTCAGGGAAAAAAGGTGTTTAATTTCTTAGATATTTCAAATTAAATCTTACCTGAGTGAAAATGTTCCATTGTGTGCTGATTTTAAAAATGTTATTCCATTCTTATTAAGAAATAATAACCCTCAATGAATTTTATTAATAAAAGTCTTAGCAAGTTACAAGACTTGCCATCTAATGAATTCTTAATATTCATAGCTTTCATAATCACTATGCCATGGTATATAATTAATCAACTCTCCTTAGAAGGAAAGGCTTTGAATGAATTCATTGCAGCCATTAATTGAGGTCAGACATTATACTGAGTATGTCCCATTATCATTTTTAACAAATTTGGGATTTTTCCAAAACTATCCAAATCACACAATTTATTAGAAGTTAGTCTCCCATTCAGTACAAGGTTATCCCATTCGAAAAGCTATGTTTTTTACAGTTCCATGATTTTCTACTTTTCCATTTTTAATTATTACATAAAAGAGAACATGGAAATTAAATGTATGTATATTTAATTTTCACATTATGATAGTTAAAAATTATGATGGTTAAACGAAGACACAAACATACTACAGTAGGTTTTCTCATTAAATTTATGTCTTACTGCCATCACAGAGATGAATGTTTCTGGGGAAGATTATTTTCTGCAAACAAAACTCCAAAGCCTATACCATAACTGTTAAGATTCCATCTAGCATACTGGTTCATTTGCTTTCTCAGTTGCAGTTATTCACAGATAAAGTGTGCTTGCTGATGCATAATCAAATACAAACGATAAAAAATAGAATTTCTTGATTTCTCAAAAAGTGAGCATTACATAAATAATCTTGCCTCCTTAATGAAGTCCATTTTCAAAATTTGAAATTTAACCTTAGATGTATACACAACAAAGCGAAACAAGTTGTCACTACATTTCTGATCCCAATGTGTGTACGTTACAGTTAACTGGGTTCCACTGGATTTTCAGGATTTAAATTACCAAACTTTTCCTCCAAGACATCCTTAGATGAATTTGAACTATCAACCATTTGGTAAGTAGTTAAGCACATACCCATTTTCACCCCTTGTCCTCCTATAGCCTTACACATCCCCTGGAAATCTACAAGATCTTGAACCAACTCTGACATTCCTGCTACATACAAAAACTACTGGCTAAAAACGTTAATAAATCTGGCCAATAACTCTGGCAACAGATAACTGACACTAATATTACTACATGTTGAAAGAGGTTTATAAACAAACTAATTTTATCTTTTCCAACCTCACCTGCAGTAAAATTCTCACTGTAAGATAAGAAATTGGTTGATAGTATCATAGTATTTGTGACTCCTAAAGATTCCAGTACAATCTTGTAGTTTATGGGTTTATAAACCCCTTTCCACACTAACACTGAATTTATCTTCCAGGTTGCTCTTTAATAAAGATTAGAAGTCAGGATTAATGAAATTATATGAATACAGTTAACTCACCAGCAACTAATGAGAGTCTAACACCACAGGAGATGTGATAAAATATAGATTTCAGGCAAATT